ATCAAATGAGGATAACCTAGAATATCCTAATAAAATTGATGAAAATCTTCATCATGAGCTCAATCTTGAATTCACCCTTGCTCCCTCAGGGAGCATGTGAAACTGTCCACATTTATTATCAAGTATCCCATGCATCACAGTTAATAAGAGAAATAGTTTAATTTCCCTTTTAGATTTTTGTAAGGTCAAAAAATAATACAAAGTTTTTTTCTTATTTCTCAAGATGGTAGAAGTAATGTTATATTAATTTAGATTCTTAATTATGTTTACTTCGTTGTATTTTTTTTCTTTCTTTTATAAGAATCTCACTTGAATGAATTTTTATTTGGTTGCATTGTTCGATTGACAAGGGAAAAGATGAAGGGGCCGTGTGTGGTTTATTTTCTTTATAATTGTGCATCGATTAAGTAAAACAGAGGTAGGATATATATAAAATCGCTTGAACACAAAATTAGAGTTGGTTCAATGATTTAACCTATTCAAAATTCACCTTAATGTTTCAGATTTAACGTGATTCAGTCATCTTGACCTACATCCATAACTAAAAGAGGAGCATATTAATTGACACCAACAAATGCAAAATAAAGTACCACACTCCAAAAAGTATAAAATTAGAGTAATTAGATACTCTATATCAAATTAAAATAAGTCCAATTATTTTCTAATTTTATATTAATATAATTTATTTATTTTTTATTAAAAAAAGGACCTATGTTCCTTCCTGGATAGTTAAAATTTAATAAATGTTAAAGAGAAAGTTAAAAAATAAAAATACAATAAAAAAATTAACTTAAAATGAGAAAGAAAGATAAATATCATGCGTAAGAGATAAACAAGAAGGGAGATAAATTACTTTTCCTAACATATAATGTATTTATCATATAAATTATGATTAAGAAATTACTTTGATAAATTAAATATTAGTCATTAAATTTAATTTATGTCATATGTCAATAATCCAAGCAAGAAATTGAAAAAACGGAAAAAAGAGAAAGTTGGTCCAAAAAAGAACTCGAAGATACAAGGTAATTACACTACATGTCACCTTACTTATTTTTAAAAAATATTTATTGTTACTGTAAAAAAAAATTATTTTTACTGAATATTATATATGTTGTAGCTAAACTAATAAATTTCCCTTATAGTGATTCACTTACCTTTGAGTTTTATTGATTAATTATGGACTTATGATTAATGAAAATATTATTTTTGATAAGTAAACTTAGTGAACCATGAGAGAATTTTTCCAGTCAAAATTCATGTAATATTAGCTTATAGATAAATAGTTAATAGTATTGACTATATATATTATTAGTCAATAATTCAATAATTATTTTTTCTAAATTTAATTAATAATTAGTGGACCAAATTTAATGTATCCCTTTGAGAAACGACTATATAAATCACTCTTCCTCTTCTTTTTCACTCATTGAGTCATCTGTATATACAAAAATTCCTTCAGTTAATTTTGTTTTTAGTAGCAGTCAGGACTTCAAGTCGCGATCAATGATCACCATTGGTGCATTCACAGGCATAGTGATCGTCCTCACCACACTTGAAGCAGCCGCCACCACCACCCCCGCCACCACCACCACCATGGCCACCACCGCCTCGTCCATCACCGTCGAAGTGTCTACCACCTCCGCCGCCATAGCCTTCACTCTGGGTACCTAGCAAAGTGGCCACTTTGCTAGGGAGTGTACCCAGAGTGAAGGCGATGGCGATGGAGGTGGTAGTTACTCCGACAGTGATGGTTGTAGTGGTCGTGGTGGCCGAGGTGGTGGTGGTGGTTGCTACAAATGTGGTGAGGATGGTCATTATGCCAGTGATTGTACCAATTGTGTCTGGCTATATTTTTTGGCAAGTAAACTAGTGGAAGAGAACTTTCCAATTCAAAATTCACGTAATCTTTGCTTTTATGTAAATAGTTAGAGTAATGACTATATTAGTAAATCATTCAATAATTATTTTTCCAATTGAATTTTTGGATGCTATTTAAAATGACTATTTAAATATTGTCACGCCATGCTTGCATCATTATATTTGGTTTCTTTGGGCTATTGTAATTGATATGCAAAAAATGTAGTATAACCATATCAATTCAAAATTATTTTTGTTAACTAAATTATGCATTTTAAAGATTTTTTGTGTTGTGGGTATTAGGAATTCTGATTCAACTAACTAATTTTATTTTATCATGTATATAATTGACAAGTAATGTAATGGATTTCCTTTCGATTAACAATGTCATAAGCTTTTTAACATGGCTTATTTTATTTAATCCTAGAATTTTTATTTTTAAAAGAACAATTATTTGTTGGTTTTGTTGAATTATTTCCAAATTAAATATGATTGTACTGTTACGCCCCGAGCCTACACCCTGAGCGGGATTGACATTCAAGAACCATTGTTGGCCCCAAGCGAACTCTTGGCCTGGCTAGACTCTCAGCGAAAGACTTACTCAACATAAAATGTACTTAAATACAATCTTAAATAAACTGTCTGAATAGATAAACTGATAAGGTTTAGAAAATAACATTCAACTTAGCCAAAATGGTAACTCAAGTCTTTAGATCAAACAACTGAAATATCAAGACTAAAGAACTCATATCTAACTGTCTATGAAGCCTATAGATACTAAGAGGGATGTCGGGACAAGACCCCCCGATCAACCTAACAACTGAAATAGCCAAAAGCAATAAAACAAAACATAACCAAAGGGATCCTCCGAAAAGCAATGAGGCTCACCCAAACTGACTCTGAGTGCTCGACTAGATCAACGAGGCATTGGATGCTGCTCCTGGTTACCTATATCTGTATCATAAAACGATGCAGGCCAAATGGAATCAGTACATTGAATGTACGAGCATGCGAGGGGAAAACTAAACACGACTTAAAGCTTGAAATGAATACTGAAAGAAACACTTACCTCAGCTTTACTTAACTCATGAATACTCAACTCAATGTAGAAATAAACAATAGTAAAGGTGTAGTTTATATAAAGCATTTAAAACAGTAGGTAGCATCTTAATGTGTTAAAGAAATACAATAACAACTCAATTTATATATATAAAGTAATATAATTCTGTGGGAGTTTCTCTAACCGAAAACCATCACTATGAGCTAATGTAATGATACAGCGTCTCACCCACGCTACCAGATTTGTCCTATAACTTGCCGGGATATAGAATGCCTCAACTAAGTGGATCCACTAGTGTAATGTGGTATACCGTGCACACCATAACTTTTTATTGATCAAAAGTTATACTCGTTTAAAGTATTAAATTTAAACTCAGATTATTTTTCTAAGGTGCTACATATGTATATACAGAAATGTTGCTTAAATTTGTAAGAACTACATCTGCCATTTTGAAGGAATAAAAAAGACAAAAAGACATGCACTCATATAACATCAGTTACAAAAATAAATTTTTATCATATGACCAGCTAAGAAAATTCAATTTTTCAAATAAGGTGTAGCCGACTTCAACTGATGAGCTTTCACGTATCACCTTTCTTATTTTTAAATCAATAATATCAACACCATTCCATAAGTGGACTAATAAATCATTGTTACTAAAGATTATGTTGTAATTAGACTAATAAATTTCATTTTTAGTGATTTACTTACCATGAAAACAATTTTTGGTTAGTAAAAATGGTGAACTTGAAGAGAATTCTCTTGTGAAAATTCATGTACGTAATATTACCTTTTAGGTAACTAGTAAATAGTCAGAGTAATAACTACCCATTAGTTAATTGTTGAATAATTATTTTTTCGAAACGGTTTTTTGGATAACTATTTAATTAAAATTATATTTGGTTTCTATGTATGATTGTAATTGATATGCCAAAAATTGTAGCTAAATGTATTTTGTATATAAATATATCAATACAAAATTGTTTCTATTTATAAAATTAAGTAGACTTAAAAACTTTTTTCTTGTTGATTTTTGAAAATTCGTCTAAATTAAGATTATTTTTTCATGTTTATGATTGATAAGTAATGAATTTCCTTTCATTAACATGTTTTTAATGCATCTTATTTTATTTGACCCTTGATTTTTTTTATATAAAAAATCAATTTTGTTGGCTATTGCATTATTCCTAAAACTTTTTTAAAATATAACAAGCACAATTAATAATTTATTTTAGCTTATTATAATATATAAATCACGTTTTTAGTCGTTTAGTTAACTATTTTCTGATACGTGCATGTATGACCTAAAAAGAAATATATAGTCTATTGATTATATAATAACAACGCAAAACGACATACTTTTTATTAAACTAAAATAACGATTAATTTACGGCGCCAACTAAATTAACGGTTATATTTTTCGTGTACGTATAATACGTAGTTTACGTACGCATAAACTAAATATTCTATTTCTAAAAAATATTAAATCGATAAAACCTTGCTTTTAACCTATCGACTACAAAATGAAAAAATATTTTTGAATCAAACTATCGAAGAAAGATATTTTTATTTAATTGTGTATTCAAAATTTAAGAATATTTAAATCATTTTTGGAAGAAATAAAAGGGACGAATTAAATAGCCAAAGGAAAAGATTTTAGTTTTTTTGTGAGGGGGTGGGACGTGGCCCGTTATAAAATAGAAGAAGACAATTAGACTCACAGTTTCACAAGAGTAGAAAGATACAAATATATATTTACCACTCTCCACGTAAGATAAAAATGTCTCTTGTTTTCCAAAACAACTCACAAATCCCTTGAAAATCATCTATATAAACCACTCCTCCTTTTCCTTCTCTATTCACAAAAAAAAAAAAAAAAACCTTGAGAAGTGTCTATATAAATCACTTTTCTTTTTTCTTATTTACTCACCCATTCTTCTATTCACATATAATATTTTTTTTCTTGAGAGACGTCTATACAAATCACTCCCCTTCTTCCTTCTTTGTTTACTCATTCTTCTCTTCACAAAAAAATAAAATAAAATAAAAAATTCTTGAGAGACCTCTTTTTATTTTTAAGATGGCACAAAACAATAATATCAACGTGACAGTTCCCTCAGGTGAAATGCGTTATAAGGGTGTGAGGAAGCTTCCCACAGGGAGCTACATAGCTGAGATCAAAGTTATCAGCCAGAGAAGATTTGTGTGGCTTGGAACGTTTGATACAGCGGAGGAAGCTGCTAGGGCTTATGATGCAGCTGCCCGACGGCATCTCGGCCCACGGACAGTCATTAATTTTCCTCCAATAACTAATCATAATGACGTCAAAAGAACCAGAAATTATCTTCAAAAGCTTAATCGTAAGGCTGTCATGATCAATTATGCTAACAACACTGCTGCATCGTTTTCTGGATCAGGTGGAGCTTTGATGCCAAATCAGAGTTCTGATCAGGAGTTTCGTCGTTTTACAACGATTACTGGAGCTTCTGTTATGATGTCAATAGTGCGAGATAGAAGCTTATTAGAGGCTTTAATGAGAGAAGGAGTGATACTTCCGGACCCAGAGATCATCGGGGTCCGCGATGCTACCAATACCGAGCCTCTCAATCTTGAGCTTACTCTTGCACCGCCAGGGAGCATGTGAAACAAATAACGATGCACTCTATATTTTTTTTATTTTTGAGAGTAAAAATTTGGCATGCATGTTGTAATCATTTCTTGTGTATGATCTCATGTAATATGAATTTAGAAATTTCTATACGTTCTTCATTGTATTTTTTTTTATTTTTTTATTTTCAATTTCTGTTGGATGAATTTTTGTTTGGTTGTTCAATTGGAAACGGAAAAGACATAAGGAAGTAACACGTAGAGTACATGGGCTTAATTTTGTCATACTATACTAAGTACTCAAGGGTTTTTTTGAATTCTCATGAATAATAACAGTTAGTTGAACTCACATAAAATTGAATAGAGGAAGTAACTTTTATGATGTGCATAGATGAGATTTATTATTGAATTTTGAAGCAACTATTTATTTGATGAATTAATGTCTTCTGTGATATAGACTTGAGTGAATTGAAAGGGATTGCAAATTTTATTCTTTATTTAATCTCATGACTTATTAGCTTGATTACAAACATTAGTACAATTACACTACGTACCATTGGTATTAATGGTAAGCATGTGTTGATATATAGGTTGATTAGTCAATTACTGATTATTATATTCACAAAAGAAAAATATATTGCTTAATTGCTCGATACATCCACTTTTAATAGACATTTTTTCATCTATTTCCCTTAATATCGTCTTTGATTCCTGAGCAATGTAAGACATGTTTGTTAATATTCCTGTAATGCCTAATTAAACTCGTCTTCTTGATATGATAATTATAAATAGGGAAAATAATTGTTTTCGTCCATCTGATATGGTCTTATTATGATTTTTATCCTTGTGGTATTTGATTCCCCCATTTAACCTTTAATTAAGCAAAGAGAATAGTTTTGATCCTTCTATTAATAATAATTAACAATATAAACAAATCTATCATTATCGTCGAGGGAAATTACGGTATTACATGATACGAAGTGCTAAATGACGCTGATTCAATTGGGATTAATGATAGGAGTAAATGATGAAAAGTTTTATTTGACGAACCAGCCTCAATATATATAGTGAATGATTAAAAAGGACTATCACGTATTAGTAGGAAGAAAATTATTCAAATTGTAGGGTGTGTTTGGTATGAAGGAAAATGTTTTATTGGAAAATAAGTTGGTTTCAAACTTATTTTCTCATATTTGGTTTGAGTGATCGAGTGGAAAATATTTTCTAGTGTATGATTGATGAATGAAAAACTTTTTCACTCACCAACTAAACACCCGACCCGAGACCTGACCTCGATCCCAACACCTGACTCGAGAACCGACGCGACCTCAATCTCGATCCTGACACCCGACCTGAGACCTGACCATGACCTCGACTTGAGACATGTCCTTGACCCCAACTCGAGACTCGACCTCGACACCTGACCCTAATCCAAGAACCATTCCGACCCCGACAGTCGACGACTCTAATCTTGAAATTCGACCTCGACACTTGAGTCAAGACTCAACCCCGATCCCGAGATCCGTCACTTGATCCGAAATTCGATCTCTAATTCTAACTCGGGATCCAACTCCGATTCAATTCGGAACTCGAGAGTTGGGACTCGAATCGAGGTCAAGCTTTGGGTCTCAAATTGAGAATTAGGAGTAGAATCTAGGATTAGTATTGAGAATCGATACCCGAGACTTAAGTTAGGATGGAAAGTTGAGGTGTGTGGTTCAAAATGATTTTGGAAAATGTTTTCCTAACTTTTTTTAGGGGAAGTCATTTAAGGAAAATAAGTTGATTTGGAAAACATTTTTCAAAATATTTAAGCCAATCAAACATGAGAAAATTGAAAACTATTTTTCTTCCCACCAAACACATTCGTAATATTTAACGCTCTCTTTCATCTCTGTATCTAATTTTCTCATCCTCTTATGTACATATAAAGTACTTTGGCTGGGCTACCTGGAGAGAGTAGAAACTTTAGTAGGAGTATATTATTTTGCGATTTGTCTTTTTAACGATTTATTCAAAATATTTAATTATTCTAGTAGTAATAATAACAATATGCACAATAATTAATAGAACTCATAAATAGAGTCCGAAATCTAATTATTCATGGTGTATCGACAAAATTATACTTTTATCAAATTAATATGCAAATAGAATTTATCTTTAAAAGTATATCCTCATGGAAAAACCTTATAAGACATCTGTTTTAGCCATCCATTTTTTTATTTGAAATTTATTTAAGAAAATGTTGTTTTAATTTGTAAGAATACACGTGTCGTGTGAAAAATATAGGAAAAAACAAAA